TATATATATATATATTTTTTTATGATTTTACATTTCCTGAAAGTGGTAGTGGTTTCGGACATACAATGTTTACGCCCGACAGCGACAATAAGTAAATTTGTTGTTTTATCATCACGAAAACATAAGACTACATTTGACCATGTGTTTCTACCTGACTTAAGCTCAAGTTTCACATTAGATGTGAGTACTACTTTTAATATAATATCCAGTTTTAATATTCCATTTGAAGCAATGCATGTTTGTGCAATTTTGCTATATTTCAGTACTTCTATTCAATACTTCAATAGTGCTGATCAAAACTGTGCCGTGGATTAATAAAAACAAGGATGGGAAACGCTGCCCTAGTAACCACTCAGAATATTAACTATTGGCTAGCAACAACATAGCAATTCTCTAGCAACTGCCTAGCAACACCCTAGCATCCGCTAGGGCTGGGCAAAAAAAAAATCGATTTTCCGATTAATCGTTTTTTAAAAATGACGTCGATTCGATATAGATTCTCAAAAGCCGCGAATCGATCTTTTCCAGTATTTATTTCAGCACACATTTAAAACAAGATCTGATTAACTTGAATCTTATCATTAGTCTTCTCCACTAGATGTCACCATTATTTACCTTGCATGATGTTACAACAGAAATCCTGTCATTCATTCAGCACTTATCATGGCCATACGCGCAATTTGCAGTGCTCTGGTGAAATGCTACAGTACTACTATAAATCTGCGGAAGCATTTGATATCAAGCATAAGGCGCCATGATTTCTGCAATGAATAAATGGCAGATGGTGCGGCGCACTTTTTTGTTTACTACACACATACTAAAGCATGGATGACGCTCGCGGTGTTTTCAGCTTCTGCCGTCTCACTATATGATGATATGAACACGAATGTCATCTCCAGCTGCTCTGAGAGTCACTTCATTAGCATTTACCATTTCATTTGAGAAATCTATCGTCATATCACATACGCAGCAGCTGGAAGTTCTTCACGGCAACCCGTCAAAATAAAAGTTTAGTTTAACGTTCTGCTGTCAGAATATATGACTATTTAGCAGTCTTAAGACTCAATGTTACTACTGCTAATAAATATTAATAAATCTTTATTTTTAAAGGAATAATCACATCTTTTTTCTTGTTAATTTTAGCAGTAAACCTCTTGTTAGAAATTAACAACAGTCCCTCTAGATTCTCTTTGCCACCTGGAAAATTCTCAGTCCCTCAAAGTGTATATACGGCCGGGAAGCAAGAAAACACACATCAAATTGTATTCTCAATACTTCAACTTTATTCATAGATACAAAGATATCATATAGGCATATGTCAAGGGGAGTTTCAACCCTTTAACCGATGAGGATATAGATGACATACATATAGGATTTTGGCCAAGAATATGTGTTATATAAAATGGCCACATGTACAGGAAAATATGGACATATTAGGAATAAACTTGGCAAAGGATGCTGAACTATCTCCATAGTTCAGCACGAACCTATTAGTTATGGTTAATTATTCATATTTCCCCATGAGCTGATTCGCTACACAGGCATGTGGTTCTTAATTTCTTTTTAATTCACTATTTGTAAACTGATGTTTACTGTAAATTTTTTTTTAGAAATATCAGTAGCATTTGTATTAAAACTATATTCACTGAATGTAATAAAAAAAAAATCAAGAATCAAATCGAATTGAGAGCTTGCAAATCGAATCGAATCGGGACATCTGAATCGATACCCAGCCCTAGCATCCACCCAGAACAACCTAGCAACCACTCCCATTTTCTTCAGAAAACATACGTAATGGAATATTTATTATTTAATATGATTTAGCTTCGTTTTTTTTTTAAAGGGGTCATATGATGCGATTTCAAGTTTTCCTTTCTCTTTGGAGTGTTACAAGTTGATTGTGCATAGATAAGATCCCTGAAGTTGCAGACTAAAGTCTCAAAACCAAAGAGATATTCTTTATCAAAGTTAAGACTCTGCCACGCCCCACTAAAACGGCTCGTTCTAACACACCCCCACATATCTAGGTCACTATGTGGGAATATTTGCACAATGCGCCCAAATGTGCACGCAAAGAAAGAAGTCGTGGTTTCAGTAACCGCAGTTACTGTTGAAGCAGCCATGTCAGGGAGGGTGTTTCTAGGCGAAAGCAAAACCACTTTATTTGGCCTTCCAAAAGTAGATGCAATTAGGAATCTTTAAGATCACTTACAACAGAACAGCAATGCATTTTATGGGCGACCGTTTCATGAACCTAGGAGAGGAGGTAATTCTGACTTTGCTATGACAATCTGGCGCTTCTGAATCAGCTACTG